ACATCCTTCCAGCCCTGATATTGAGTTATCGTCATCTTCCTTCACATTTAAAGCAATGTTTTTCTTTTTGTTCAACATTTCCTAAAGATTATGGATTTGTAAAAGAGAAGCTAGTTTTGTTTTGGATAGCTTTGAATTATGTGGAGCAACCTACAATTAGTAAAACTTTGGAAAAGATTGGTGAGGAGTACTTCCATGTACTATTGTCAAGGTCATTCTTTCAACAATCAAGTGGCAATGAATCCTTTTTCACAATGCATGATTTAGTTCATGACCTAGCTCAAGTTGTCCATGGACAATTTTCTTTTAGGGTAAACGATGAGAAGCTACTCGATATTTCTCCAAAAGCACACCATTTTTTGTATAAGAGGAGAATATTTGATGGTTTTGAAAAATTCAAGGCAATTAATGAGGCTAAATATTTAAGGTCTATTTTACAATTAAAGTTTCGATATGAAGGTCCACGTGATTATTCATACTTGCCCAAGAAGGTATTGGATGATATTTTTCCAACACAAAGATGCTTATGGTTGCTATCATTGCCACATTATAATATTGTGGATTTGCCTGATTCAATTGGCAATTTGATACATCTTCGTTATTTGGATCTCTCTGCAACAAAAAATAAAAACATTGCCCGAAGTAGTTTGCACCTTGTATAATTTACAAACACTACTACTATCAAATTGTTCTCTTCTCACAACCTTGCCAATGGAGATTGGAAAATTAATTTTCTTGCGTCATCTTGATATTAGTGGAACTAAATTAATGGAGATGCCAATGCAAATGAGTCGATTAAAAGGTCTCCAACATTTAACTGATTTTGTTGTGGGAAAGTGCAGTGGGTCAGGTATTAATGAGTTGAAGGAGTTTCATAATCTTTTTGCGACACTGACAATTTCAGGTTTGCAAAATGTAAAGAGTGGAAGGGATGCATTGGAAGCAAAGCTGAAGGAAAAAGAGTACCTTGAAGCAATAGTGCTGGAATAGGGTAACACTATTGAGAATTCACAGAATGAAAGAGAAGTACTTGAAAATTTGTAGCCTAATACAAATTTGAAGTGCCTCACAATCAAACGATATGGGGGCACAAGATTTCCAGAGTGGTTGGGAGGTTACTCATACTCAAATATAGTGTCTTTATTCCTTGACAAATGCGATCATTGCTTTTCATTGCCACCACTTGGTAAACTGTCCTCTTTGAAACATCTTCACATAGCAAAGATGAATGGAATAACTGTGGTGGGTGAGGAATTTTGTGGGGATTTTGAAGAAATGTTGGAGTGGATGGAATGGTATATTTTGGAGGCTGAAGAGTTTTCACAACTTAAAGAACTTTGTATAATCAAGTGCCCAAAGTTGGTTGGAGGCTTACCCAAACACATGCCATCTTGGGTGAGCCTTGAGATTCGTGAATGCTCAGCGCTTATGACTTCACTTCCAAGGACTTCTGCAACAAATAAATTAGCATTGGATGGATGCAGTGGCGTAGAGTTGGGATGGCAAGGTGTGTCTTCTCTTGTAAAATTGGAGATTTCAAATATGCCTAATTTAAAGGAATTGCCGCTTATGCTTACAAGCCTTTTGGTTAAGAGGTGTGAGGCTTTGGATTCTGTAAATGCGTGCCTCAATACTTGCCTTCAGAAATTGCGCATTGAAAATTGCTCATCACTTTTGTCCGTTGGTGTTCTACCCATTACATTGAATTCAATTTCTATTTGGGAATGTCCGAAACTAGTGTTCTCAGTATCAGAGGAGATGGAGTGCCGCAATAGTTCCCTTGAACATTTGCCAGCAGGATTCTTTTGGAAACTTCGACATCCAAATATCGCAAATTGTGAAATCCTTTCAATTCCGAATGGACATGGGCTCAACATTTCGACATCGCATGAGTCTGTTTACGTTAATGAGTGCAATAGTATGGTATCTTGTCTGCAAGAAGCATTACACGCTCCCAATCTGAAAACTTTTTGGGTCGAAAATTGTAAAAAGCTCAAGTTGCTGCCAGAAGGAATGCATAGCCACCTTCCATCTCTTGAATACGAAGCAGAGGATGATGATGATGTGCTGGAGTCCTTTCTGGAGGAAGCCCTGCTGCCCCACACTCTTAATTCGCTCTCGATCATAGGTCTACAAAATCTCAAATCAATCAACTACCAGAGCTTTCAACACCTGACTTCTCTCAAAAGTCATAATATTTAAAAATTAAAATCATAATATTTTGAAATTAAATATTTAAAAAAATTAAAAAATTTAAAAAATCGTAACATATTTAAATATTAAAATATTTAAAATCTTAACAAAATTAAAATATTTTAAAAGTATTTAAATATTTAAAATATTGATTTGAATTGAGTTTTGAAAAGAGTTTTAAATTATGTGTTTAGTTATGAGTTTTTAAAAGTAATGATTATGTTTTGAATTGAGTTTTGAGAAATGGGTGTAGAATTATGATTTGAAAGCTCAAAATAAACAATACATTCAAATCAATGGGTGAAACTATAATTTGAAACCCTAACCAAACGGAGCCTTAATTTTTTTAAATACCAATTTTGCCCTCATTGGGTAAATTACATTGACATCTCTCACATTTTAGAAATTACAACCCCCTCCCAAGGTTTAAAATAGTATTACCAATTTCTCCCTCGGTTAGTATTAGTTGAAAAAAAATTCAATGAAAAAGAATTAGTTGGAAAAAAAATTATTTGAAAAAAAAATTAATTGAAATTTTTTTTATTAGTTAAAATTTTAAATTTCTGTTTAAAAATCAACGTAAACTCATATTTATGTTTTTTTCTCAAATTTACAAACTGAGACAACTATTTATAAACAAAAAAAATTATCAAATAAGTTTTATGGCAGTTTTTAAAATTTTGTAAATATAAATTGAAAACTGAAAACGAAATGGTTACCAAACAGGTTTCAGATGGTAAAAATGTCGCAAAATTAACAAATAATTAAATAAGTTATTAACGTAAGAAATGACTTGTCAAAAGACTCTTAGGTTATGTATGGTTTGATTTTTAGAATTTTTTTTAAAATTAAAAATTAATTTGGTTAAGAACTAAAAAATAAAAAATAAAAAATAATTATCATTTTTATATAATTTTTATCTTTCGAGTGGTTAAAAATAATTTTTTACAAATTAAATATATTTCTTCATATTTATTTTTATTAAATAAGTTTTTTTTTTTTTTAAATGTCAGGGGGGATCCGTATTAAATTAAAACCTCAGAAGCTGTCAATGTAATTTACCTTTTAAAGTATATGTAAAGGTTAAGGATAAATATGTCATTTTAACTTAAAACTTTACACCGTCAAATAATTACACTGACAAGAGAGGTCAATGTAATTTCACAAATGTGAGGGAGAAACTGTAATAAATATAAATCTTAAGGGGTGTCAGTAAAATTTACCCTATATATATATATATATTTGATCAATGACCTTTCTATTTGGCCTTTGCCTGTTCCTTTTCTGTTTCTACTTCATTTCTTTCCATTAATTCTTCGAGGGCTCAAAAATCAATTTTGCCAACAAAAATCTTATTCAAATTAATAAATTTTATAAATTTTTGGTTGGAGAATTTGATAGGGGAAATAGAAATAATTTAATAAGTGAATTCAAAAGATAAAAAGTGAGATTGCATTTCCCTCCTATTTTCTTGTCCTATTTTTTTATTATAACCAAATAAAAAGTGAAATTGTATTTATTTTTATTTTTTATTTTTCTTATCAGATCCTCCTACCAAACATAGTCCTAATAACTAATGTTATTTAATTTAATGATATGATGTCTGCCACATCAATAAACAAAGAAGAAAAAAAACTAGTAAATTTGTATGATAGAACTCTTTACTAAAGATAAACGAGGGTGGAAATCTTTTGGAAAGGAATTTTTATTTGTTTGTTTAATCTTTATGATCTAAAGCTAATGCACTCTACTTCTCTTCCAGGTAGTGCAAATTCTCATATTCTAGACCAAGTTACCTTGACATCTCGATTAAAACTTGAGGATTGTATATATTTGAAAAGTTTCTTTCGTATAACTATAAATAATTTTGGTATAACTATAAAAGTTTCTTCAGTATTTTTGATGGATATTAGATGTTTAATGTTTATTACTTTTTGTTTAGATTTAAATACTTAGGTGTCATTTGACAATGACTTTTTTAGTTGGCTTTTTGACTTTTTTGATTTTTTTAGATTGAGACTTTTTTGTTCGTTTGGTATTCTTATTAGGCTTTTTACACTTTTTTTGTATTTTAAGTGATGTGTGAATAAGTAAAATGACTAAATTGCCCTCATGTGGGCAAAATCCAACTACACCTCCAAATTTTACACATTGTGACCCCAAAATTTTTTTTTTTTTGACCCAATAAATTAATTTTTTTTTCTTACTTTCCCCTTTCCACAATTTTTTTCAATTTCTTCATGCTACAGAGGTTTGGTAGTCTTGTGCCAAGTAACCAAACAAACAAACCAAATTATGGCCAATGATGGCCAAGTAACCAAACAATTTTTCCACAAACAAACCAATTACTCCCTTTTTCCACAATTTTTTTTCAATGATGGCCAAGTAACCAAACAAGCCAATTACTCCCTTCACCCCGTGGACGTAAACAAGCCAAATTATGTGTTGCAACATTTGTTAAAACGGCTGTACACTCTCATTTCCACCAAGCCATTGTTCCAAAAAAAAAAAATAATATAAAGAGAGCTACAATACATTAATAAAATAACATTGTCAAGTCCATAATAAAGGTATGTCCGAACAATACATTAATAAAATAAAATAGGCAACTCCATAATAACAAACATTCGTTGGTAATTTGATCTCTGAAAATAACCAACTTCTTCGGCGGACCATAACGACAACGCACAAACCTAATTAGATAACGTACATACACACAATACCATAAATACTAAACGTGATCCTACAATTCCTTCCCTACACATACAAACAACAAGAACGGCCGAACTTGGGTTACCGACTTTGTCCTATATATTTCCCAACATGCCGTGATTGCGCATGTGTACCGAACGATGTCGTATGACATTTCGGACAAGTTCCATATCTGGATCATCATCCTCAATGATTACTCCATCCCCTCCAGGAGGAGCAAGCACCGGAATGCCATTGATTATGTTTGTCGTGTCAGCCTCTGTTACTATGGGTTGAACATTGGTTGGATTTCCCGTATTTCTCCGTATGAAGTTATGCAATGCCATCGACGCACCAACTAACTGCACCTGCGCAGTCGCAAAATCATAACGAAGCATATTTTTTAGAAAACCCCATCGACTTTTCCACGACCCAAAGGTTCGTTCCACGACACTGCGCACCGACGAGTGTGCCTTGTTAAATAATTCTCGTGGGTTCGCTACGCTCCGTGCACCTTGCCGAAAATCTTCTTGGTGGTAACGGCGGCCCTTGTATGGAGCGAGGTAACCCGTTCGATTAGGATAGCCCAAATCAACAATATAATATTTCCCTGTCAGAAACAAACCAAATATGATTATTTGAACAACTCTTGTGCATATTTGTACATAGTGAATTTTTAAATGATAATTCTACATTACCTTCCTTCGGATGTGGAAACGGCACATTTTCATTGTTTATTATTTCAGCAAAAACTCTACTGTCATGCATACTGCCTTCCCATCCAAGTGATACAAACGTAAAACACATGTTGAAATCAACAACCGCCATGATGTTTTGTGTGTGACAGTATTTGCGTCCAAAATAGGTCGCTGCCTCAGGCCCCATCACTTTTGCAACAACATGCGTGCCATCGATTGCGCCGATGCAATCCTAAAAGCAATAAGGTTCAGCAAAATTTAAAACATGTAATATGGCCCAAAACTTGGAACATTTTCGTCAATAAGTTGTACCTTGAATGGTAGGTATTTCATTTTTGACTGCAAGTGAGGATGTCGCACATTTTGATTTGTTGTTGGCCTACAATGCACAATCGTGAACTTCTTCATTGCCTCCAAAACATTATGCATGTGGCGTGATACGGTTTCACCTGAATGTTGAAAGCGTTCTTGGATGGCTCTATTCTTAAACCCTCTTAACACATGTATGAGCATTGCTACACTTTCTTCCACGGCTAATCCATGGCAACGTTGGTTAACACATAAACCAAAATCTCTAACTAACGTGTCACACAACAAGGAAAATACATGTTTTGGCATACAAACATTTTTTTCGAAACGACCAACGTGTCCGTCATATAATTCACATATCCATGCACCTCCAATCAATATTGATGTTCGACATGGTGTTTTTGACATATAGTTTGTGTAGTATTGTTGTACGTACTGACATGCTTGCACGTTCGTCCAGTTATTTTGTTCTTGTATCTAAATTGCCATTTGGTTAATTTGCTCGACGAAGTCAGCGTTTCTGCTACCTTCCCCGTTAGACATGGCCACCACTTCGACGAGGCCTACAACACATATGTCCAACATTAACTAACATGACATATATACATGACCAACTGACCATGTGTAAGAGTATTGAAAAAGCAAACAAGCAACTATTGGACATGCATAACTTAACCATTCCATCGAAACCAACAAAGCAAATGGAAAAAATAATAAACACAACACGACCTGGTCATATTGTTCCACCAAACACATAAACATCCAACTTAAGCAACCGAAACAAACCCAAATCAAAAAGTGTCCAAAAAAACAATGAAAATAACATAGAGAGTCCTAAATATCCGACACTATAACAAGTTCGCCTTAAAACGTTAGACATGGCCCCTATCCCAGAATCCATCAAACCCGCCGTGCACCAAAAAGGTTCGCAAATGGAGCTACAGTGCTCCTTTGTAGTTGATTCTGCGTAAGCCACCCGATAATATGGTCATCATCAGGCTGGCACATCATAACCTCTCGATACTCAGTGTTGTCCATAAGAGATGATGCAAAGTGGAACAACGGTGTACCGACCAAGGCAGGAATGGATTTCAACCTTTCCATGCACTCTGAAATTGTGTACAAGAACTCATTCCCAGTTAAGTGCCTCACAGTAACTTCTTGGTTTTTAGTACGGACAACATTGCTCAGATTGTTAACGCTGTCAGCTATGGCAGATGCTCCACTAGTCGGCTTCCTCGACTTTCCTGAACCTGCGGGAGTCATCCTTTTCCTTTTTGCGTCGGGGTCAACCGCAGGTTCAACACTTCCCATTGATGACTCAGCATCCATGTCAATACCAACAGAAGGGATTGGATCTGCGAAAGACCGCATACCAAGGCTTTGAACCGAATCAGAAGATCCCTCGGTATCTTCGATAGTCCTTTCCCCCGGTGTCCAATGATGTCTGCCTGTTGCAGCAGCGCCTGTGAAGACAATCTCCATCAACTCCCGATGCTTCAAAGTCTTAGTCCTGAACTTTTCACAACTCTTGTTTATCTGCAGCAAAGGAAACACAAACCATTAGTGACAATATGTTACAAAAAAAAAAAAAAAATTAAACAATGTACAGAGGTAACAAAATAGTATAAATAATTTACCAGTTCCATACGATCCCACCATTCATCGGAAGCCTGAAACATGTCTGTTTCAGCGTCAAAGCCAATTCCAGTTACGCCTTTCGTGTGGTCTATCAACTTCATCCAAGCAGTCTATTCTCGTTTCAAGCATGCATACATGTTCTTCAACTGCTTCACATCATGTCTTCGACTTGTTTTTTTTTTCAAACTTCTTGGCCAAAGACTTATACCCAGCACTGCTCAAAACCATGAATGGTCGGTTGCCCTCAACAATCTCATCGGCAATAAGCTGTAGGAAAAGCTGTGTGGATTCATAATCCCACACAGTTTTGTGAACATTTTGGCTGTCGGCAAGAACATTAGCTCGGGCACTTCTGGCAACGGTACGCGGTGAAGTTCGTGTGGAATCCATACCGACAATACAACTGATAAATTAAAGCATAAGTACCTTATAAATGTATGCATATCACTCAGCCAAATGAATTGGCGCAAAAAATTATAAACGTAACCGGTTTCACATTCATTTACACATAAAATAAAGATGAACTACCAATGAATATTCATTGTTGATTGAAACCACCGTTTCATTACACGTCATTGACAATGACTTGTACGTATCATGTCCACAACAAACATAAGTCATTACAATATTAGCTTTGTTAGGGTGTTACAAGACACTTTTCACATTATCACATACGTATCAATAAGATTACAACAACAATGCATAGCACAGAAACAATGGTTTTCAAGATATGCAGCGTTTGTTGCATGTGAATGACATCATCCCGCAACTGCATGACAATGTTGTGCGTGGCGGAGTTAGACTCTGTGTTCAGTCGCCTAGGTTCATCGCACCAACCAATCCAACTTAAACATGGTTGACGAAATGTACGTACAAAGCTATTAGTAAACTGGTTTAAAAGAAATGACAATATGTTACAAAATAATTGGGTGTACTCACCACAGAATTCAGACATGCATAGTAAGCCCGTCTTGGATTTTTGTGAGATCTGAAAATCTTAACAACACATTGACCGTAGCCACAGGCACACGTACGATGTGGCCATGGAGTAGATATGCCACTTGACATGAATGAAGCCATGCTTTGTTTTGTAACATAGATGAATAGTACGTGGCCATGGAGTAGATATGCCACTTGACATGAATGAAGCCATGCTTTGTTTTGTAACATAGATGAATAGTAGACAAACATAAGGTGTGGGAAAAGTTGTTTCGTACATTTTCGTCAATAAGTTGTGTGCTTGTCGTATATGATATGTGTGGTAATGACATGGTTATGACCTACAAGATTTGTTAGCATACACCCTGCTGCACTTAACTACATAAATGGATTACCAATACTGTTTATGGCATAAATACAATAACACGCATACACCTATAGGATTGCATACACATAAGCAACATTCTCCAATGGACCCAATCCAAGAGAATTGAAAAAGAACGCTGACTGTTTTCCGTTTATCAGTTAGGACAGTGTTACTAATCCAACATAATTGAAACGACTTAAATTAACACAGTATAATTACAAAAAAGAAACCACCATTAGTAGCTAGGGCATATGTTTAGTTAGTTAGTTGGCCATTTAATTATGATTACATTGAAGACCAGGCAGAAACACATATAGAAAGTAACAGAGAGTTTAGGCGAAGGCACAACTATTGGGTGGTGACAGAGAAAAGGCCAACAAATAGTCAGACATCACAAAAAAACCAAGAATTGGTAACAGATTTGAAAGACAAAATAGAAAAAAAATAAAAATAAAATTAACAAGTTCAAATGATGTGCTCTGTTTTGTCTGTATTTTAGAAAATGCTTCTTCAACCAAAATCCGGATACAACCAACTACTGGACAACAGGTCCACTGAAGTAAGAAAAAAAAATTTAAAGCATTCCTAACTGATGTTGAATACAAAATGGTAACAGATGTAAGAAATTAACAGATAAATTGAATTGCCTTGTAACAAAAAATTTTGCTCTGTTCAAACAAACCAAATTAACAAATAACATTCCAATGGCTCTGTCTACTCCACCAACTGGCATACAACCATTTGTAGTTTGAGCTAAAAAAGAATTGTGTTCAACGAGTAACAACAAACACGGATTAAAAAAAATAATTAAAATAAAAAAATAAAAGAGAAAGGAAAAAAAAAAAAAACCAGTTCGACATCCCAGTTAGAAAAAAGAAAAAAATTCCTCTAAATTCCACAAGAACACTGAACAACAGTTCAACAAAAAAATTAAGGAAAATTGCAGAAGAAAAAACCGAAAAAAAAAAACCTAATGAACAGTACCATCCACTATTGTTTCGTTTTATCTATAGCAGATCAGAATCAACAATACCATTTTCGGTTTTAAACCACCATTGACACCAAAATACATGTTTTACCAGTGATCCAACTTCAGAACGACAGATGCAACGACGGCACAATGTTACGAAAACCCCAAAATAGAGCGAGTTATGCGCACCAAAGATGCAACGACGACACAATGTTACGCGTGAAGGATGGTCGACGCGTTGACGAAGCACTGTAGGCTTGGATCGGTCGAGCATTGTTGTGTCGCCGTCTCCCCCTCTCTGGTTCTTCGTCACCGTTTCGTTGAAGTGTGTTTCATCCAGAAACCCTTTCAAAAAATACATGTAAAGCAAAACCCAATTGACCAGGGGTATTTTTGTCATTGTCCGTTCTACACGTGCTTCCTTCCACACGCGTAGTCTTTCATTTGTTTGCTTGTGATTTTGAAACCAATTTTTGTTGTGTTGTGCTTATTTAGTCCGAAAACGATTGCCAAACTGCAGCTTAATAGATCATCTATAAAATAGGTATAAACGATAAGTGTTAATTTAGAAGGGATGTTTTTTTTATTTTTTTTATTTTTAATATTGAACTAGTATTAGTTTTTGTTGATTTTGATTATCTGTGGATGTAATATTAATCTATGTTGAAAATAAAAATATATAAAAAATATATTTTATTGTTGTATCCCTATTTTTTTGAAATCACTGTGTCCCGTATCCTGTCCGTGCTTTTTAGCGTCTGTCTCTCACGTGTTGTTGTCTAGATTTTTTTAAAAATTCTCTCTCAATGTGTCAGCCTTATATTGATGTCATATCGCTTGTTTGTATCCGTACTTCGTAAATGAGGACTCCATTCAAATAGAATCATACAATTTTTTTTTCTATTTCTGATCTATATAGTTGGTGGACCATGCCTTCTTTCTTCTTGTTCTTGTTCTTGTTCTTGTTCTTGTTTTTTTATTTTTATTTTTTTATTTTTTTGTTATCTTAAGTACCTTCAAATTGTCAATTGTTGTGGACTTAAAAATAGCAATATATTTTTTGGTATTTGACTCTTTGATTTGATAATAAATGTATCTTTAATTTTAATTGGGAATCCACAGAATAAATCAGTGAGCATGCACGTGCGCTCATGTGACTTTGCATTAGCAAATTGTAGAAAACTTGAAAGTGGATCTTGTGTAAAGGTGCAATTAGAGTGAGGATCATCCACCAATAGGATACACAAATATAGTTGAGGAACAACCTCATTTAAAATGCTTTAGTTATGATCCTATCAAACTTACATTAGATCAAAGCAGAAAGGGGAGGGTTCACCCTTATGCTGGGTAGACACGGTTCACTTTTTTCTAAATAAAACAATTTGCAGTTAGGCACACTAACTTTCTTCCTGGATTCTATTGATAGGTTATGTACAATAAGTACTCTAAAAGGAGCCACCGATTTGCATTTGTTACAATGAAGACTGTTGAGGATGCAAATGCTGCTATTGAAAAGCTAAATGGCATAGTAAGTGATTATATGGTCATATTACTGGCTTTTAAAAATTAGAAATTCAACATGAATGGTACTTTGTTTATATGAATCCTTTCACTTGAACAAATTGCTTAATTTGATCTTGTTTTCCACTACAGCAAATTGGAGGGCGAGAAATCAAAGCAAATATAACCGAAAAACCCTTATAAATTATGGATTTGCCATTTTTCCAGTCTGAAGAATCTGAATTCATTGACAGCCCCCACAAAGTTTATGTCAGCAATCTTGCAAAAACAGTAACTACAGAGATGCTCAAAAACTTCTTTGCTGAGAAAGGGAAGGTTCTTAGTGCAAAGGTATTCCGAGTTCCAGGGACCTCAAAATCCAGTGGGTTTGGGTTTGTAACATTTTCTTCAGAAGAGGAAGTTGAAGCTGTAATCGCATATGTAAACAATGCTGTAAGTTTGCTACTCGTTTTGTTATGAAAACTTGGTTTTTTGTAACCACACAACCACAGGTCCTTGTGCTTCTGATAAGTAGTTTAATAATGGGTACGGCAATTGGATATATGCATACAATAAATAGAAGGAAGAAATAATAGAGCCTCTTCCATTTTTTAATTATTTTTTGTAGATGATTGTACTAACATTCCAATTATCTCGTACTTGTTTTTTGGCAGTTGCTTGAAGGGCAGAAAATTCGTGTAGACAAGGCTTAATTAGCAGAAACTTGGTATTAACATGGCATATCATAGTTGTGAGAAACTTGGGGAGAGTGGTTTGCTTGTAACTGTTGTATTGAGAATTGAATGTTCTTTTCGTAGAGTCAGGGAACAAGAATTACAATATTTAGAGAACATCAAACTGTTCCCAAAAAGGAAAAGGAAAAAAAAGGAACAGCCAAGTGTTGATAGTTATTAGTTGTTTTGTTTTGAGCCTCGTGTTATTTTGGTTACAACGATGAAGTTAATTGACAAAGTTTAAAGTAGTTGAGTTCTTGCATCGTTCTTCTTGTTGGAATATGGAATATTGTATATTTAATTTAGGAATTTAATTTTAGGGTTTGATTGCGTAATTATTTAATTCCTTTTTGCATGTATCTTATATTGATTATATATAGACATGGTCTCACCTAAATTAGGGTAAGCCAATATTTTATAACTCTCTTCTTGGTATCAGAGCCAAACCCTAGCCACCCACCACCCTTGTCTTCTATTGTCGGCAGCCCTACACCACCTACTCAGCCACTTGACAGCCCTTCTTCTTCCTTCCACCCAGCCGAAAGTTTTCCTTTTCCTTCTCAGCCCCTCGGCAGTCCCTTTTCCTTACTG